AAACGAGGCATATATAAAACGGTGACGATCTTCCCCCACCAACCTCTGCTTGGAGAGTACTACATAGATGTGTATATACAGATATTCCTCAAGGACGACCGTTTTTGCATACATGCAAAGTCAATGTTATCTTTATGATCCGTCAACGATTGACCAGAAAAATACTAGTAAACGATATCGGTACATCCCGTCATCCTTTGCGCTAAGTTTGCCCGAGCACACCGCCTGTCGATCGGCACCTGCTTTGGCAAATATTCAGTGAAGCAACAGCAATTACGTAGATTTAAACAAACACGGATACCAATTTAGAGTGTTTTATACAATTCGCCCTTTCATTTTTAATCATGTTTATCATGCTTGCCTTCACGGAAGGAAAACATGCGCAACTAGAGTTCCACGACCTCATACCTTGCCAAATTATGTTTACCTTACAACTGAGTTATCCTCCTTATAGTATTTTTCAACAAATCCCCTGCAGTTCCAGAGCAATCCGCTAGCGGACCCAAACTTATGTTACTTCTCCCCCAGCACAAGACCTACTCATCCAAATTTCGTGCCCCTAGTACAATGTATGTCTAGATCATGAGATATCAAAATCAGAGGTTCTGCTGCAGTACCATAACAAGCCACCAGGGGGCCCAAAATCTAATCATTTCGAGGTCTCCCTACCAAATATCAAGACAGTCCATTTAAGCCTTCTCGAGTTATCGTGTTTACAGACACACACACAAACACACACGAACGCTGAAAACATAACCTTCTTGCCAAAGGTAACAACGATAACAGTGATTTCAACAAACACTGATACCAATTCACATTGTTTTATTAAGTTACAATTCGCCTCTTGCATATTCAATCATGCTTGCCTTTACAGAAGGGAAACATAGGCAACAACGATAACAATGTTTTCAACAAGCACAGATACCAATTTACATTGTTTTACTACGAAAAATTTGCATATTTCATATTTGATCATAGAATTACAATATTGGGATTTTTCTTAAACAAAACAGTATTCCTCTCACCTTGCTTAAGATTATCAGACACCTTCCTTAGTGCTTTTTACTGGGGTATTGCTTTTCGCCGCTATATGTAGCCAATGTAGGAGGCGCTTTTAATACTTTCATGGAATGGTTTTAGGTCGATGACCTGCAGGCATGCGTATACCGGAGACATCGGCCTACGTCAGGTGACCTACTTCTCTACACGTGTTTGGTTTGATGTTACGGTCCGCTCATGCATATACAATAGGTACACAAAGGTAAAGGTGGACAAGTAACTGGTATAACCACTTTACCTTCCTGGTGGCCTTGGTAAAGGGTAAAGAGAGACAGCAAACAGTACTAGTCACCACGACCATGTTCTCGTTTTGGTCCAGAATATGGGTGCCCCTTCTCCTAATGCTAACCGTCTGCAGAGGGGAAACGGTAAGTGTGTTTTGATGCTGAGTTATGTCTTGTGTGTGGTGAGATCTGCTCCTGATGTGAGCGTTAAAAAGTGGACGCTTTGTCACCAATCAAATCGAATCGGCCCGGTGGTCCGGTGGATATATAACAGTTTGACAACCGCAACATTAAGTCACCGTTCCAGCAAACCTAAAAAATACAGCAATGTTTGCTTCCTTTTGAACGTCCTTGGTTTGAGTTCGCTATCGGTAACTTGATCTCCTGAGTCATGCATGGCAGCATGAACGAACCAGCAGCACCCTTCGTCTCTACCATACTATTATTAATTACGCTGGCCAGACGCTGGCTATATATAGGAGAATATTTGCCGGGGGAGTTTGGCCGCCTTTAATATATATAATATGGAACGAAACTACCTCCCCGCGGCCGGACTCCCTTGGCCAATTTGATTCTCTTTTTTTGCCGAATTCTACGATCCGTATTCCCGTAGAAAGGCCTGGTGGAGGCTAGAATAAGAACCGGTATATCCAATGACGTTCTATCACAGTAATGTCCTTGGTATATCCCTTCAAGGCAGAGCACTTCAAGGACAAAGTGGTTAAGAGATCAGGGCTGGTGCTGCGGGTGGATTTTTCACTGATACTCACCGATGTGTGTCGCTAGAGTTCATATGTTTTTCTTTGAGCCTCGGATTTTACACATACCTGTACCGAATACTTCGGATTGTTTCTGTAATATATTTTTGGTGGAAAATATGTGTAGTTTGCTGCACATTCAGTTCATATTTCTACTTGTTGATTCCCATCTTTACATACAGGTAAAGACCAAAGTGTTGGTCCTGGGTGCCGGGATGGCGGGCATATCGGCCGCTCGTAGCCTCAATCAGAGCGGCCTGACCGACTTCGTCATCCTGGAAAGTGCCGGTCGTGTCGGAGGCCGACTCTGGAAGGTGCAGTTCGGCGGGAAGACCATCGATATCGGCGGGAACTGGATCCACGGCATCTCCGACGACAATCCGGTTTGGGCAATGGTGAAGAGTTATAACATGACCGGCACCGTCACCAACTGGGACAACATCAAGGTCAGGAACGGCTCCGGCCAGGATGTGACCCCGCAGTGGCACGCAGTCCTCGCTTCCCTGGACGAGCCGACAGAGGCCGCCTACGATCTAGCCGTGGAGAGAAACGCGACTGGACAACCCGATATGCCCTTGCGGGCCGCCCTGAAGTTAGGCGGCTGGAACCCCGGCTCATCCATGGAGAAAGCCGTTGAGTACGCCAACTATGACTGGAATTACGGAGAAGAGCCAGACGTGTCGACTTTGCTCAGAGGGGAGCTTGACCCGACGTACGAACTGTTCGGCGAAGAAGAGTACTTCCTGACAGACCCGCGAGGATACGTCTACATCATCGAGCAAATGGCAGAAAGCTTCCTCGCTGGAAACGACCAAAGGCTCAAACTGAACAAAACGGTTACCACGATCCGATGGGGTGATGATGGCGTGACTGTTACCACCAAAGATGGTTCTACCTACACCGCCGACTTTGCAGTCGTGACGTTCAGCATGGGGGTTCTCCAGAGCAACGCCGTGGAGTTTGTCCCAGGTCTGCCCGACTGGAAGCGCGAGGCCATCTCACGGGTTCGCATGGCCTTGTACACCACCATCTACCTGAAGTTTCCATCTAAATTCTGGGACGACGACGAATACATCGTGTACGTGGGAGATCGCAGGGGCTACTACACCGTGTGGCAGAACATGGAGGCTGAAGGCTTGTTTCCTGCAGGGACCAACATCATTCTAGGTAAGTCATTATAAGAAAGTAAAGCCTTCAATTTAATTTGGTGGCACCATGTATTTGCAATACAAACATCATATTCATTTTGACGACAGTCATGTTCTTGTTCACCGAGCGCCATTTGCCCTTTCCTCACAGTGACGTTGATAGGAGAGGAGGCCCGGCGTGTGGAGGCCCAGTCTGACGAAGCCACCCAGGCAGAAATCATGGCTGTCCTCCGGGTCATGTACGGACCAGGCATCCCCGACCCTGGGGACATCCTGGTGCCGAGGTGGGAGCAGGACCCGCTCTTCCGCGGCAGCTTCGCCAACTGGGGAGTCGGCATCGATGATGAGGTGCTTCGGAAGCTGCAGGCTCCTGTCGCCGGGCGTCTTTTCTTCGCAGGAGACGGGACAGGGGTGCACTATGGCTACCTGCAGGGTGCCTTCTTCGAGGGGGCGAGAGTAGCTGGCGCCATCGGGACGTGTCTGAGAGGGGGCCCGTGTGAGGAGGGTTACCAGCCGCCCCGCCGGGGCTGTACCTGCCCTGCTGCGGACAACTTCGACCGCCAGGCCACGGTAGACAACGGGTCCTGTCAGTACCCCACCAGCGGCGCAGGCCGAATCTGGCGGTTTTCAGTATCATCCTACATTTTGGTTGTTGCAGCGTTTGCATTCAATGATATGGTGTAACGTTATGTTGTGTTTTTGTAAGAAAGTAGGTTGCCTGGTGAACGGTCGGTTTATTGTTCATTTACAAACTGCATAAGCTAAGACGTGTTTTAACCAATCGATAAATCAATAAACGATAAAAGAACATCGACCTGTGAAAAAACAAAATATACCATTTTTAACTTCAACATTCCTACTGCTAGAAGTTCTACATAGATGATGTTGAAAGAACAATGCTACTCTACATTCTAGCACGTGTTTATGTCTTAATTATTTCGTAATGTTTACCCATTCTGAAGACCGATTGTAGACATTGCCAATTGCCATATTTTGTCCAATAGACACAACGATGCTATAAGCATGCAGTCCAACATCAGCTTAGCCCAGATATACCTCTTGAAAAACGTAGCTCTCTTTTCTTCTTTGGCCATTCGATCTCTTGGTGCTTCGACCTACAGAAACATTACTAAGATCAGAATGAACACAATAGATATTCCCCGACTAGACAGTACAGTGTGAATAGCGCCAGAAGTATTACTACATCCGTCCCACTTCGGGTTTGTAGTGTCCGGATCTGTTAGTTTTAGATTTCTCTCGAACAACAAGTCAGGGTCAGGGGGCTTACTTCTGAAAGACAAGGAAAAGACGAGACCGTTTTGCACTTTAACATCGACCAGAACAGTTGACCCCGTCAGTGGCCCTTCAAAACTGGCCTTCAAGACGTTAAGATGATCTGTAGCCATAAGAACACCATGTCCAATAAGACCAAGTCTGAAGTACAATTTCCCATCTGTAGCGTTCAGGCTAATCGTCATGGTGCCTGCTGCACGGTTGCCATAGACACCCTCGTAGTCACGTTTGTCTCGCGGGAATTCGTCTGAAGTCTCGGGCATGACGGGATCGTTGGCCGTCGGTCTTGTCCACCAGGGCTGAGGGTACGAGCAGGCAGTAGTGGTGTTCAGCCAGTGGTCCTTACCTAACGAACGGTAGAGAACAAGTAATTATTATCTCTCTATAGCATGTAAAGGATATACAAGCAGGGACAGGAAGCATCTTACATGAAAATTGTCAGTATCATCTTGGACGAGAAAATCTGAATAACTGAGGTGGCTGTAAGAATGGCTGCGTCCCCCCACCAGCCTCTGTAGACTGCATTTACAAAGGTGCGTATGCTATGTAAGACATAAGCACCTTCTTCATGTAAAACCTGACATAATGTCCCAAGAGGTTGATGTTTATAAGGGTTTATTGTCACTCCTTAATGACCTGCGGAGGACAACCTGAGCTGTCCTAACGGCTGCATCTCACGAATGAAATGACAACCCACAAGACACCGACCTATCAGGATGTCGCTGATCTGGTGATGGATGACGTTGTGAACGTCTTTACTCTGTCCCCTGACGCCGTTGACGGACGTGAAGACGCCGCCTCTGACCGCCGGGAACAGCGATAACAGCGACGTGAACCCCGTCACCAACCCGCTGTGGTAAATCCGTCTGTGGCCTGGCCAGGAAGGAAGTTTAAGTGTAGATTGCCATATATGTGCTACACATAAATTCGGCTTTACGTTATTTGAAGTTAACAACAATAGCACATGTTTCCACCACTACTGTCCATGACCTAGAGACGAATCAAAGTACAGATTATTAGAATATCCATCTACGTATACCAACCCTTTTACATTTGTGTCATTTGAAGTAACTCACTATAGAAAATCCACCTTTGGTCTATCAAGGAATATTTAGCTCTGTACACTTTTTGAAGTGGCAAGTTGACGTTGTTTCATATTGTCTAAGTTTAATGCTAAATATACATCATCTGCGCCAGGGTTGCCTGTTATTGCCCACCTCTGTAGTAGCCACTCATCCACCCCAGGCCATACCCGTGCAGCATGTCCGCCCCCACCGGCCAGTCTGGCCCCACCCTCTCGCTGTACACGGGCATGATGAAGTCTGCCGTGTGGGTCTGTCGTAAGGTGTCCTCCGGCACCACCAGGCGGCCGGCCGCGTCCATCCCCCCGCTCAGGTGGAAGTTCATGTACCGGGCCATGTCCAAGGCGTTGGACACCACACCTCCTGCAGGGAGATGTAACCTCACAGGTCTGCAGTTAATAAACACATTGGAGAATGAACCTTTATTACCGACGGTGACCTTCTGTCGTTCTTGGAACCAAGTGGAAACCATGTCAAATTCTTACTACCACGTATCTTAGCGTTGACCGCCCCAGTAAAACGATGAAATATGTAAAGGGTAGAGATTTTGATCTGGCAGAATAGACGATAGCCATTTGAGTCCACAGATCGCGACTCGGATGTTAGGAATGTGTTTGAATACTTAGTAGTTACCCATTTGATAAATGCTGAGTTTCATGTCATGCAATCTGTTGATCGAAAGTGATCTAAAGTTGAAGTTATGACTGTCACAATCTGATTGAGATCTCTACCAACAGAATCGGTGATTTTGCTTGGAGACATCTCTACATGTATATGTTTTTGAAATATCATACCTGCGGTTTTCTGGATTGTAGGGAACAAACGGTCCGGTTTGATTGTGTGTCCAGTACGTCTGAGCAAAATTCAAGCCGCCCTCTTCTACAACATCAGCCAGATAGACGGTGTCGCGCATGCCCAACGGCTGCAGGAGACGTTCTCGTAGAAGGGTCTCGTAGGGTTTTCCAGCAAGCTTCTCCGCCACGTGCCCGGCGAGGGTGTACATGAAGTTGTTGTAATGCCAGCGGGTACGGAATGGGAAGGCCTGTCTGAAGTACCGTATTCGTCTGCAAGGGGGAGATGCGTTCGAATTCAATTGTTTATTTTTTTCGATGATCATGACCATGGAATGTTTTATGAATGGTGACGTACAGCCCAAACCATACAAGGAGCATCTGGCCAATGTGACCACTTTGGTGTGGTCCCGTCCCTTTAATAGATACTAGTAGTATTTCCCATTGACACAAGTATCAAGAATCCTGTTTATATTGTCCACCTCTATAGATACACCAGGTTTTATCGGTTCCCTATGTGGTCTTCTTAATGCAGTTTTGTCTGTACTTTAATGCACATGGTCCCATTCACTGTGTAAGACCTCCACTGAACCGTTGACACAAGCCATGCTGTGAATGTTATGGTAGTGCTGGAAAATTGCCAGGCTTCAGTCTCTAAGTGGCATCAGTGAGCCAGATTGAGGCGTCCTGCTAGGGAGCTAAAGTGTAATCACGACATCCCTCTAGGATAGGAATGTTCAACTGGAGTTGGCAAACCTTCACCCAAAAGTTATAGCGCAGTGATTTTATCTGCACGCGTGTCTCAAGCGAAGTTGTCTCCTAGGCCTGGTCGTACAATATCTTCCCACCATAATCTACGTGTATGGCCTAACACGAAAGGAAACAGAAAACAATTTGTGTGATTAGAGGATTGGAGAACAAGAACGACACCAACCTGGCCAGCTCTGCTCGATCAATGTCCAGTCCAGTATCAATAGCGAGGCCGAGACTTTCTAGACCGGTTTTGTGCGCCAATAAATCTCGTAGGGTCGCCTCTTTGGTGCGGAACTCGTCCTTGAACCTGAAGTCCGGCCCCAGGATGTCCGTCAGGACGGTGTCCCAGCTCACGTCTTCCCTCTCCCCGAGAATGGCCGCTAACAGGGCTGAGGTGAAGGACTTGGAGATGGAGCCGACTCCGAACAGAGTCGTGTTGTCCACAGCTTGTCCCGTCTGCAGGTCCCTCTGGCCGTAACCCTTGGCGAAAATGGTCTGGCCGTCCTTGACCACGGACACGGTCAGTCCGACTATAGGCCTGGACTCACATGTCATCAGGGTCTGGATGAAAGTGTCCAGCTCCTGTAGCCTCTGCTGCTGGTCTGAACTGCTTCTGTGTAACGCCCCTCCGACAGAAATGAAGAAAGTAGCGAAGACTAGATTTATGGCAATTTCCATCTTGGGCATCGTGGACAAACGACGGCACAGTCCCGACTCTCAGGCCGGGGGTAACCTGACCACTGAACTATCAACAGGCATCCGGCGACGTGCGACGTTTGGTTTTGCAGGATTCCTATCTCCCCAGGAACCTTCACTTACACTTACTTGTCTTTGTGATAAAGTCCCCTCCTCCCCGACAAATCAAGGTCTCACTCTCTCAGGACACTGGTCTGTCCTAAATATTATTTGTGGCACCAACGTTCGATCCGTACATACAGTAGGTTCTGCCGCCTTCCTCGCCAAATAGGCTCATAGCCTTGCCAACTGCAGCCTGGAAACAGCAGACTGGTCGACTTCTGTCAGACTCTCAGAGAACAAATAAACCGCTGTCATCTCCTGATGAAAACTTCCACTTCACAACCTCCCAAAGGAAACAGTTTTCTGACGCACGATCGCTGACATTACAGTGAGATCAGAAAACGAAGCTCAAAGCGCGGCCGCGGCAGGCGTACTCAAGTTCATGTGCGAGGGAGAACCCTGTCCAAGGTCTGTCATCAACGTACCGTTACAAGTAGTTAATTGCGTGGCAGCCACAAATATGACACTTTGCCAAAGTTCAGTGAACTGTGTACCTCTAGTCTAGGTGTGTACACTGTCACTGACTTGTATCCGCTACAATCACATTGACTTAGAAAGGCCGAGATCGAAATACTAGTAATTGAAGGCATGTGCTACCTGTGAAGTGGCCAGCGTTGACCTTCGGCTTACAAACCTGTCCGTCAGAGTAACAGGACCTGACAGTAACACGTCCACCTACTGTGGAGAACTAAATCACCAACACGTGTCAGGTAGCCAGGGATTTGGGGCACATTCGGGGTAGCAATCGTGTGGCAGAAATATCTGCACTTGCTACCAGCATACCAGCATATAATATAACGGTTGGATGGGTTGGAGTCAAATTCGAGCGCTCTCAATGTTTTGACCCGGCTATAATCAAATCAACATGTCCTATTATAAACTGCAAGCCGTATGTGACCGTGACCCTGTATTCAATGTACTTCATGCCAAAGTCGCTAGGTGTCTACTGTGCAATTTGGCCTCTGACCCAAAGAGGAACATCCCAGAGCGCGTGCCGACCGACAGACACAACTAGCCTGAAAACCGACTGAATTTCGTCTTCTTTGACATCAACTACAGTTATCCGTGCCCCACAATGTCTATCAATATACGATGTGCCAAGGTAAGGTCAATTTTGCTTATACAAGGATCGCCACATGGTTGATAACGTTAGCACCAAAAATGTGGGAGGGGGGCAGGCGGGTCTACATTTTTTACATGTATTAAAAATGTAAAGTATCTCTTTTTCTTATTTATCCGGTTGATGCCTCTTCAAAAAGCATGGCGTCAAGACGGGTGCATAATTTCGAAGTCCATTCCCTTTCATTTGTGATAAGCATCTAAATATGTTCATGTACAAGACACGTGTGAAAACAGTTATGCCATCAAAATTATTGGAAATATGTACATAAGGGAAATATCACGTTTTACATATCCTAGTTAGTAACAAAACCCATTTGAGTTTGTACCCATATATTGTCCATGTGTACAAACTCGCAGCTAAATTTTGTATTTCAATTCTAAACTAAAAGGGGTAAAATTGCATACGTTTTCTCTTCCCAGCCGGAGGACCTGATGAACATGCAGCACTGTAACCTGCTGTGTCTGCCTGAGAACTACCAGATGAAGTACTACTTCTACCATGGGCTGTCATGGCCTCAGGTAAGGCTCAAACAGACCACTTATGTACCCAACAGTTTGGAAGCCCAAGCCCTGGCGATTGCGGGAAAATGATGTCATAGCTCAGGGAGCGATCTGATCATGATTGGCCGAATGTCGCCAGGTGGCCAGGACCATGTAGCGAGATTTGGCAACATTCCAGGCTCAGACTGACAGCCAAGGAAATAGTTTACAGCCATAGATCACTGAGTATATCTTTGCTATGAATATGAAATTTTCAGTAAAATTGTATGTACAAAATGTACATGTATAACAATAACATGCCAGTGTGCAACATAATGTGACCTCTCATGTTGTGCTCTGTCCAGCTCTCGTATGTTGCAGAGGATGAGAAGAAGAAGATAGTGGGATATGTCCTGGCCAAGATGTGAGTATCAGGACAGCTATAACTTATATAAGAAGTTGCACAAGATTTTCTCATAGATCAATTAGTTTTGTAACAGTGGTGATTGTTTTTGCTTTCTATTGTGGAAATTCACGTGGACATACATGAGTGTTTGGCTTTGAATGTTAAAACAATAAACCAAACCATCTACACATGATGTAAAGACTTTACTGTTGTGTGTTTGTAGGGAGGAAGACCCTGATGAGGCACCACATGGCCATATCACATCACTGGTAGGTACAATGATCGATATTGGGAGCTACAGTTGGTTGTTTAGTTTACTTGTTTAGTTTACATACCATGGTCAGGTGTGCAGTATGACATTGGTCGTCTCAATTTCTCCTGTACCTCATCATACAACAGAATATTGATCTATGTCATTTTAAGGTCTGTTGTGTGTTGATTCTGGAAGCATTTATTTAAAGAAGGTTTGCCCAGTCCTTATATCTGTGACATACTGTAGTACTTACACATACTGTCCTCCTATATGTGATTGGATAATTATACTGGTACATAATACAGGTAATGCCGTTTATCCCCCACTCCAGGCAGTGAAACGTTCCTACAGAAGACTGGGTCTGGCTCAGAAGCTGATGGATCAGGCTTCGCGAGCCATGGTGGAGAACTTCAACGCCAAGTACGTGTCTCTTCATGTACGCAAAAGGTAAGGAGCACACGTCAATCTTTCTTGTAATGCCAAGTATCTTTCTCTTCATGTACACTAAATACACTTTCCAATAACAATGTACATGTACCAAATCCCATCCTTAAGTTTACTTTAAGGGTCAGGAACTAGGGTTGCCTATAGTACCTGCTTCCTCAAGGTTGACCGCAAGGTCTGTTACATTTTCTGTACAGTCTACTAGAGACCTCTTTGGTCAGTTCTCTAAGACTGGTTAAATAGAATACTTGTATACACATGTACAAGGTCTCAGGTTATGTAGCATCTAGTTATGATGAGGCCCTTGTTGCGAAAGAACTTTCACTCAGCAATTTACCCCCAGTAAAGAACTTGCTTACATTTGTATGATTGTATTTTCACTTACTTTCTGCCTACAGCAACCGAGCAGCACTGAACTTGTACCAAACAACTCTGAAGTTCACGTAAGTAAAATATTTCATGTAGCATAGATAGATTTATCTTTTTGTTCTACAACGGTAAACTAAAAAAAAGATTCCTTTGAACTGTTAAGTGTAGCATTGGTAAGAATTGCTGGCAACAAGTATCTTTTTTTTTTTACACTTTAAAGAGGTTTACTGCAAAAATTAGGAAATAAATGGTCTCACTCACCTTTAGATTGTACCTGTTATTGATATGCAATGTTTATGCATAGTTTATGGTTTGCTCTAAAACATCCTCAAGTGAAATGCATTTACAGAACTGGTTTCTATGTTGCCTTTTTCAATGCAATATATGTATGTTTGCATGTCCCTTCTCCAAATGCCTGATAGGTGTTGAATTGTCCCTTTCACAGGATCAGTGAGATAGAGCCCAAGTACTACGCAGACGGAGAGGATGCCTATGCCATGAGAAGGGACCTGGGAGACTTTATGGACCAGGTAAGTCTGATAGCAAAGTTCCTCCCACTTCTTCAGTATCTCAAAAGAATATCTTTTGCCTCTAGTCAGGTTTGCTGGTTAACCATAAGCTTCTTCCTTGATGCTCAACCCTACAGCCAATCCTGATTCATGTCAAAATGCCACTCAGTATGGAAAACGTCTCATATTAAAGTGATTGAAACATGTTTGATCACAGCACATTTGTATGGTGCTCTCAATGTACTATAAGGAATGCATGTGCACCTGTATCTAAAACTATGATATTTGCACACCCTGTATAAACATGAAATAGGCTTTTGTGAAGTCTGTCTTTTTTGCTGTTAGAACCAAACCATTTCTTTTATTTTTCCACAGCTGAAGAAGGTCCATGATGGAAATGCAGTTACTAATTCAGCAGTAGCCACCACGTCATGACCCATCTACCTGTGAACAACAAGCAAATTACTGTGTACAACAAGCGAAACATCATAGCATATTAAACCAACACAATCTACAAATGTTGATACTCTGTACCAGATGGTTTACCATAGGCATAGAAACTGTATGATTACTTGTTGGGGGTATTTAATGAAACTTTCACTTTTTTCAACATTACTACTGCAATTGTACAGTCTTATCAGGCTTAGAATAGTTCAATAGTTTCTGTAGTGCCAGCATGGTTTAAAAATATTTAAAACAAGTCAAATAGATACTGATTAAAAGGCTTCTGAATAATGTTTGTTTAGAAAGATATGATTTGTTTGGAAAGAAACCTGAAATACAATTCAGCTGTTAGTTTGATACTTAAAGAGTTGTCTCCAGAATTATGTGTAATGATAAGGAAAAGTAACAAAATCAGATAAGTCATGTTCTGCAATATCTTTAATGCAGTCATGGGTACATGTACTTCTTTCCCTGAAAATGTTTGTTTTGTTTACTAGTATATTACCATGTTACCAAATATAAGATGTGTTAAATAAAATGTGTGCTACAAAGCCAAGGAGTCAAATTGGTCTTCATGATCTCTTCTTTATTCTCATAAAAATATACATTTCGCTTTTAATTGGTCTGATTGCCTTCTAATGAGAAAGGTTACCCATAGTATGGCAAGGGTTAACAGAATAAAGCTCAGTTAAACTCTATATACCCAAGGCCCTATATATCTCCCCACAGTGTACAGTCTATCATCATCAGCATAATGAACCAGCAGGGGCTAGGGGTTGGTGGCCTAGGAGTCATCCAGTTCAGGAAATGTGTTTCTGTGGGCATGAGGTACTCGGTGTGATATTGCATACTCAAACCGCCAGATATCACTTTTAATCTTTGGCACTAGTAGCTTGCACCCTCACCTGTTTGCGACTCCTTATCTTATTTATCCAGACAGGTTCAAAGTCTCCAGATTCTAGTCATAACAGCACCTGTCCAGTCTCACCTAAAAATAGTGATGTACTTCATATTCAAACCGCTAGATGTCGCTTTTAATCTTTGGTACTAGGCTTCTTGATAAAATATTTGTATCTAAATTGTATCTAAATGAACAGATAGTAAGCTGAATGCTAAAAATGATCACAGGGAACATTAAATAAGACCAATACAGTGATGGTCATTTCGCAATGATTAATTTATCTCTTTTTATACACCCCTAACCAGAACGATGGGCCAGTCCATGTCATAGGTTACTTGGCCAGACATTATTTGAGTTTGCCATACCTTCTTGTATTACACCCACGAGGACTTTGACCCGATTTTAGACCACTGTCCTGTCCATAAAGTTGTTATATACTTGAGCCAAGTTTGCCAAGATGGTGCGTGCGTGGTACATGGATGACTCTGACGCCGACCAGCGCTGTCCGCACATGACGGACCCGATCCAGCCCGTGGAACTGGACCAGCTCAAGAACATCGGGGTCCTGCACTGGAAGGTGTTAAATTTTGGGTTGTAACTTGTAGATTTTCTCTTTGCTGTGCCCCTTGTGGTGTTACGTTTACAGTTTAAAGTTTACAAGACTTAATTTGATCAAGGAGGATAAGAAAAGCAACGAGATACTCTACCCTATAAACCCCATATAACGTCACATGTTCCATACCATGCATGAATAAGCATAAATGCTAATATGCTCAGAGAACAGTGTTACAATGAGCTTGGCCAGAAAAATCAGGATTTTCTAATATGACAAGTCCTCTAGAGACCACTAAATTTGACGTAAATGTACGAAAAAAAAAATGTTGAAAAATGACAAGTCCTGAAATCCATAGCTATTTAGATGCCATCTTGGTCCACCCCTAGGCCCCTTTTCCCAACCAACCAACCAACCAACCTGTCTGACCACATTTAGCAAACATCATCAAGTCACGCAGATATGTTTTTCTGTTGTTGAAACAACTGTCAACTACAGTAGAGGTAACATTTGCAAAGCAAATGCATAATGTTTGCCTTCACATGTATATATACTGCTCTGTTTACTTTTAACCACTATAACATGTATAATGAATGTCCTTCACATTAATATATATGGTGACACAATCCAACTCTGTTCTGCACATAAAACATAATGTCATAATGTAACTCAACACCACAGGGTGCTACAGCACCAGTTACCATGGTGAGAGACATCTGGTCCAGGTCAAAAACAATGTTTTCCTTCTTCCAAGATAAACATATCTAACAAATTCTTTTAGGGTGATGTACTAAAACTCACGCCTTTAGATGCAGTTAATAACATTTTAGATTGTTATTGTCAAATGCACAATAATGTTCTTCTGTTCCCCCACTCTGAAGCTGTCGGGAAATGAGTCTGATGAAACACTGACTGGCATCAGGAAGGATCGTGGGTACACATATGAGGACCTCATCGAAATCACCCCAGAAAAGCTGCCCAACTACGAACAGAAGGTGACAGTTAGAACTACAGTATGGGTCTTGTAGACTTCTGTTCTTCCATCTCAGAAATACTATTACACTGAGTAGCCTGTTACACCCAACATCTGCGAATCTAACAGTACACAAATTGTTGAAACATATGATCTAGCAATGATGCCCCACTTTACTTGGTGGCAGCAAGTTCCACTCTTCTGTACTAGGAAAAAAACCTCAATCCTTGGTTGATAGCTCTCGTATTTGGACTCTTGGAGGCATGACTAGATAGGTATATATGTATGTCCTAATATTGTCATGCCAATTGTAATTTCCCAGATCAAGTCGTTTTTTGAGGAGCACCTGCATCTTGATGAGGAGATCAGGTACTGTGTGGGAGGGAGCGGGTACTTCGACGTCCGTGACAAGGATGACAAGTGGATCCGCATCGAGCTGGAGAAGGGTGACATGATCATCCTCCCCGCCGGCATCTACCATCGCTTCACTCTGGACGAGAAGGTAGCTGTAGGCCTTGCTTATCTTCTTTTATTTCTTTGTTCAGAAATACACAAAAAATTTAAAAAAAAAACAGTCAGAACAGTCTTAGCATATTTATAAATACACAACCATCTCTAGGTTTACAAATACAACATCAGGTTAATAGTACAGTAACACTAGCCTGGGTACCATCCTGGTTAGTTTACGTCCGCTCCCACAGTCGCTACCACCTGGTTGGTGGTACACAGGCTACAGTAACAGACAAAAATGCAAAAGCAGCCCTCCAAGAACAAAAACATGTGAGCAATCTTAGATAAACCAAGGTTACAGGGAATCATGATGATTATGTATGCTTCCTTAAACTACAGAACTACATCAAAGCAATGCGTCTGTTTGTCGGAGAGCCGGTGTGGACCCCGTACAACCGTCCCGCTGAGGACAAGGATGCCCGTAAGGAATACCTGAAGACCCTCGGCCTGGCTGCCTGAGAATTTATGTTAAGACAGTGACGCAAGACAGCGATGCAAGAGCTGGATTTATACAAGTGATATTATGCAAGCTTCAAGGATATACATATAATCAAGATGTATTTTTAAATGGCAGTTTTATGCACTGACAATTACAGTTACATGGCAGTGTACATGTCAATACTGTAGTTTAAATCATGAAACTGTGGTTTTGCTTCCCAATACATGTATTTGTTTTAAATCAATGGTTGAAAACATGAAACAATTCTATAGCACAGTGTCATGGAACCTGTAACAGTATAATCAAAGGTAATGGTGAAAAAGGTGCTATGACAGTGCTAAGAATAATTGTTAAAAACTTTCTTTACCTGCTGATTTCAGTTTAGATATATACTTTGTCTATGATGCTATAGATCATATACATGAAAAGCAAGCATTTTAAATGCTTTGAATAACTCTTTCTTTTGTAATCATAGCTAGTAATATCCAGAGTAGCCTCTACCAGGCTACAGAGGTGGCTGAGAGTACAAAGAAGCCAAATAGACAACATGCCAGGGGAGTTGGTCCGCTAAATGAGTACAGTTTGCCACAGGGTAAAGTTCTGTGAGAATCATATTGGATGTCATCAATGCTGTATTACAATAACACTCCCGTGTTTTACTATTTGTAATGCAAGTACAATAGTCGAGAATGATGGCAACAACTTGAGGCATTCCATACTGAACATTTGTCTTAACAAATCTATTCTAGTGTATTCACAGATTGTTGGTCAGCCCTTGCCTTTTACTGCAGAACCAACATTATTAAACAAATGACATGTGCCTTAATAGTCATGTGAAGCTTGGCTTACCCATGTTTATTAAGGGTTTAATCCTCAAGTACATGTACTAAGTTGGTGTGATTTTTTTTCAGATTACACATAGTAGTTGTGTAACTGACAGTCAAGAAAGTTTTCTGCTACTGCTTCCAAACCTAGCACTTAACTGAATAAAGACACTGACTGTGCAGAACAGATATTTTTATTTCACTCATATTGAGTCATAATCATATACTAGTACAGTCATTCAATGCATTATGAAGAAGTGTTTTGCATGGTCCCATGATCTGTCTCTTCCACAAACAAAAAAATAGGTATAAAATCAACATGTTCTCTGAAGCAAGCAGAAAATGACCTCTTAATATTTCATTTTTCTCACAAGGAACAGAATTATTGCAGGTTCATGCATTGCTGATGATTTAGTATATCTCTATACCTCACAAAACTACATCATGGAATGAAACAGAGCTCAAGTCTCTGGAGTACACATATATTCTGATTCGTTTAAATCTGTGAAATTCAAATAAAATGTTCTGAAAAGTTGTTTTATATTGCAACAACATGATTGGAATCATAAACATAATCATGACTGTTCCCATTGATATGAATTGTGACTTAACTGATGTAATGTGGTAAAAAAAAAAGAGAAGTACGTACAGTAGTAACTGAACATTCATTTACAAGTTCTACAACAGTGCTCATTATGTGAAGATATACTAGATTGCAAGGATCATGATACACAATAACACCTTTATTTTTCTATAACTAAATCCTTCTTGATTCCTATGTCTGAGGACAAATGCAATAAAACTACACTGCACTTCTGGTTCTTGTAATTTCATCAGTCTTATGGGTTGAGTTTTTGCTTTAGGCTCGGAACTTCCAGTTCCCTTGTAGATAATGACTTTTTAGCCAGGTCTACAATACCTCTGACTATTCTTAAAAAGCACTGCATTAAATGTGTGCTAAGACCTCTGACCTACGTGTACTACAGCACTAAAAAAGCACTGCATCTCTTACGCACATGCCAGTGAAAGACCAACTACAATGCTTCTGTGGCATTTCTGACTAATCACGAGCCTCTAAAGATATTCTGCAGGATGGGTAGCGTCAGAGCAAAGGCTGCGTAGACAAACACTACCGTGGAGAGGGTGTTGATTCGGATCTGCCATTCCAGTTTCTTCTGTGTGGCGTCAATCAATTCCTGAACCTCATCAGACACCCCTACCGCAGCAGTACCTCCTGCAGTACCTCTACTAGCCACTAGCTTCCCTATCCTGTCTAACTGTTTGCTTATTGCCACATCTCCCTCTTTTATTGCCAGGTGAATTGACTGTATCCTTGCATCAAGTTTCTTGTCTTGCTCTTGAATCAACTTAGCCAAATGTTTGACATCTCCCTTTGGTACATCCGTTGTTGCTGTTGTTGCTGTCTCTGAGTTGTTGAGAAGACTTTTGACTTCCTGTAGTGACCCTTGGATCTGTTTGTAGTGTTCTCCTGTAGCTGATATTTTCTCGACCATGTCGGGTGTTATCCCACCATGGTTCTTAGTGTCCATTATGAGCAACCTGAGTTCCTTCATCCTACTCCTGTTGACTGCTGTGGATCCGATAATTCCGATGATAGCGCCGGTGACCGAGCCAATGATGGACCAGTTCTTAGTCCTCTCCGTCCGTGCACGCTCCTTTTCGTGGCTCGACCGGACAGCGGCCTGCAGCAGAGCAAAGTTGTCCCTCTCCTGATCCTCCAGTAGCCCATATTGTGCCCTGGCCTTCTGTAGCTCCTGTATGAGGTTGTGTTCCTCCGTAGCGAGCTCGAGGTAGCGGGGTTCGCCGCGCTGGACACGGTCCATCTTGTCCCGACAGGTGTTCATGTCCTGTTGGAGAGACTCCACCGCCTCCTTGACTTGCTTCACCTGTTTCCTGGCAGTCATGAAGTTCTCTTCTGCCTAGAGAAATGTAGAAGGGTTCGGGAGTTTCATTAACACTTTGGGGGATGGCCACAATCAATCCGTTTTCAGGTACCAGTAATTATTCACATCATCTGCAAATCATCATCGTTATCTTTGAGTAATGCTTCTAACACCTTTTTTTCCTTCAACAACATTTTTTTTTTTTTTTGAAAAAGGCAAATGCATGTGCAGTGCAGGAGAGTCATTTACTATTGGACTTTTGAAAGACACTCGATTTATTTTGATTTTGTACATCCTTAGAAAACATATACATTATGCCCAAAAAAACCGGACAGAATTCACCATCACCTGTGTGACCTTCCCTTGTGCCTCCTTGACTTCCGTGATGCCCACAAACTCTTCATATCTCGCCAGCCAGCCGCCGATCCGGCCTTTAGTTATCCTCTCTAACGCGTCGTCAACAGCTCTGTTCCCCGTCACTGCAGTCGTGTAGCCGCGGAAAGGCCCGCGCCACTCCCTAGCTGAACGAAAACGCAGCATCCTACCTCAAAAATGAAATCATGGAATGAAAGAAAATGTGCGGAATCCAAGTACATGTAGCAGGTCATGCCGCCATTTTGGTTTCGAAAACTGGAGTCACTTTAAAACATCTCTTGTGATTGGATGTCTTTTATGCAAAATGCCTGCAATGCCCAATCAAACGACTTGTTTTGTAGTCCTTCGGAAATGACGTTCTAAAGCATGCGTGAAAGCGACAGGATTGAACTTTGACCCATCAGCTGGAGGAGGCGTGCGATCCTGCACGAATCGACTGTTTTTACCTAAGCTGAGTTTTACCGTTTTTGACGATGATCGCAGACGTTTTGTTAGGTGTGGTGGCGTTCTTACACCTCCTAGCCTGCCCCTATACCAAAGTGGAAGAGAGCTTCAACGTGCAGGCCACGCACGACATCCTTTTTCATCGGCAAAACCTGGAAAAGGTGAGAAAAATTTTATGTGCATCTGTCAAAATAATCCCGGGGGGCGAGGCGACGACTGCAAAAGCATCTTGAGTGATACACTCAGATACCCCGATGAGAGAGTGTTAAAAGAGAGAGAGAGTCCAAAGTTAACTGAAGTTTGATGTAACAAACTCTTGCAAGCTTGAATTTTAGAATTAAGAAGCTGAGGATTGCATTTGTCCCAAATGTCTGAAACTTCTGTTACATACTGAATATGTTTCAAAAATCTCCTCAGTACGACCACCATGAGTTTCCTGGAGTGGTTCCGCGGTCCTTCATCGGTCCACTGTTCATCTCCGGACTGGCAGCACCGTTCGTGGCCCTGTCACAGATGGTATGGGAGAACAAATTCATCGCTCAGTACATCGGTATGTCTGGGACAAAATTATAAAGTATTCAGAATCTGTATTTCTTGTCATTAGGAACATATGAGTCTTTCAGTAGCATAAAGTTGTATCAAGATATATTTCTATGTGTGTTTTTCGTTGTTGTCCGCAGTGCGCGGATGCCTGGGCCTGTGTGTGCTGTACGGTTTCTCCACCTTCCGTCGAGCGGTCAGTAAGAAGTTTGGCTCAGACGTGGGGATGTTTCTGGTCCTGCTGACGGCCACACAGTTCCACTTCCTGTTCTACATCACCAGACCTCTGCCTAATGTGTTCGCCCTGGCTGTGGGTATGTGGGGAGGATTTTCTGATTGCAATTAAATATATATGAAGGCCATTGGTATTGGATAGGGTTTTATTGGGATTGGACTATAGATACTGGATATGGAATACAGTATTGGTACTGGACAGGGCCATTGATACTGGATAGGGCTACAACAGAGAGAAAAAAAAGCATATACCGGTATTCATATAACCAGGTCCTTTTGGTTATTGCAGGAATAATTGGTAACAATTCCAAAGAGAATAGCAATACAAAGTACATAAAATTATGTCATATGATGTTCATAATAGGAACATCATGTTTGTTGCTGGTATTAAAGTTGGTAGTTTGAACAGGGTAAGTTATGCATTTAACGTTATACAGTTGAAACTTATCATCCTGCTGATTTTTCTGTATTTTCCCAGTTCTTCTCGCTCTGAGTTCCTGGCTGACAGGGAAGCACGGGTCATTTATCTGGCAGTCGGGCTTCGCGATTATTGTGTTCCGGTCTGAACTTTGCCTGTTCCTGGGTCTGATCCTACTGATGGAGCTGGGCACCAGGAGACTGGGCGTGTTAGAACTCCTGAGACATGTCATACCTGCTGGGGTCCTGTGGCTGGGTATGTACCAAGTCTTGTAGTGCTCCCTGATATTGATCATTTATCACCAAGTGCCAAGAGAGAAAGCATGAGCCTGTGTATGATGTCCAAAGAATTTTTCCAAGCATATTGGCTCACAAATTATTGGTCACACCTATTCTTCAGTCTCCACTAATAAGTGTGTTGGGCACTTGAACAGTACAGGGTTTTGATGCCTGAGGCAAACCATACTTCATAGGCCGTACACTTCTCCCAGCTTTCTTAGCCACATACAAGGTTTCTTCTACAGACTGTATAGCAGGATTTATGTCAAGCATGATCATACTGACTTCTTGTTGTTCAATGTATTTGTACTTCCAGCTGTGACCGTGTCCATAGACTCTGTGTTCTGGCAGAAACTGCTGTGGCCGGAGGGAGCAGTGTTGCACTATAACACCATCCTCAACAAGAGCTCTAACTGGGGTGTATCCTTCACTTTAACTACATGTAGACTCAGATCTCAAAAATGAGATTAAGATTTGTTCTAAATTTTGTCGAGTCGGAAGCAAAATGGTGGGAAGGTCCTGAATGTGTGACAGAGGCATTATACAATGTTTCCTTGTTGTTCCCCTTGACTACCCCCTCGTGCAGACTGAACCATTTCTGTGGTACTTGTACTCTGCTATCCCCCGTGCCCTGGCGGCCAGCACACTGCTGGTGCCGGCAGGGATGTGGCTGGACTCCAGGGTAGCCAAGACTGTCACCCCGGCTTTGGGCTTTGTTCTGCTGTACTCCATCCTGCCACACAAGGAGCTCAGGTTCATCATCTATGTCTTCCCTGTGCTGAATCTGGCAGCTGCAAGGTTCTGTGCAACAGTGTAAGTATGTGACTTGTATTACAATCAGTCAATAGGTATCTACCTTACAGGAAATAGCAGCTTTGCAGGCTGGTAGAGATAGCTGCTACTTTGAATGCTTACCTGAAGTCAAGCATGCCTCACAAGCTTTTCTGCAGTTATGAATGATTCTGTAAGGTGCCCCCATTACACAGTATATGTTATAAGATTGTACCAGTACTGACTGTCAAGGAGGAGGTTGTATGATGATTACAGTTGAGTAGTTCTCCTACAGGGTTACATACAGTAGGAGATAAGAACCACCTCTCTGGGATAGAAAACCAACTACATGTGCCCACTTTCAGGCACATGAAGAAAGGCGATTCAAATTTCACTGTCCTCCTTTGCGTAGGTACCACAACTGGCGCAAGTCTAAGCGATGGGTTATGGCTACCTTGATTGTTATTGGTCACCTGCTGGCGAACTGTGCAGCGACAGCTGTCTTCACATACGTGTCACACCACAACTACCCTGGAGGGTACGCACTACACATGTTACATCGGACCGTACCAAGTCACACAGGTGAGGGAGGTACTTAGCCTAGCTGGTTTTCCTTGGCTCCTGTACTCGCCTCTTTGATACAAAAAGTGACATCTTAGTTGTTTTTTTTTTGTGCAGCTCCCATAAATGCCTCTTTTCAACTGATTTGTGAGAGGTCAGTATAGGAGCTGCGAAAAATCAGCTTGGGTGACACCCAGACTAGGAACTGGAAGAAAAATCTGAAAATGTTTTAATTACATTTTCCTTTTACATACTCAGTTTCTTATTAAAACCATATACGAAGAAACTACAATAAACAGCGCATTGATTAATATTGTAACCCAGGTTTTGAGAATCAGTCCAATAAGCAACAAGTTGCAATATTCTTCTCACAGCTATAATTTTCTCAGTACACCATTAGTGTGAAAGATTAACAGCAATCATCCTCAAAATCTGTAGAAATACAGTCTTAGCAATGTGACCATTAGTCAATATATTTCGTCATAACCAGGCTGAATGCAATCTTTCATACTCCCCAAACACACTGTGACTCCATGCTGAGTATGTAATGATATCAGATTCCACAATGTGTCACATAACATTAGAGCTTCATTAATTACAGAAGGAGATTATAATGGTTATTATAATCATAGTATTACAGATGATAATCAGTTTGTTATCAAAACAATTCTGGACCACAAAAACACAAATTTGTGGTGTCATGATTTCCAACCTGGAAACTGTGAAAATATAACCACCATGAATAGTTCAAGATTTACAGTAGTTGTATAATGTCAGGCTGTCACCATATATGTTTTCTGATGTGTGATAATTTAGGCATTTATACCTAGCAGGTAGATGCCTAGAAGTCTGATAGATGTTCTTCACATTGCCTATTGATGTACTACCACTTGCAAATATGCACAGAACCCTCAGCTTGTCAAGTCACCAATTATACCTGTTACAGGCACTAAAGATGCTAATGTATCTGGCAAGTAGCACAGCTTGATACCAAGCCAACATGCATTACAAAGTGTAACAGGGGACATAGGCCACTAACACACATAAACTGGTGCATGTATATGTTGTCCCATACAGATATTCTACAATATATTGCCCTGACAATCTGAACAGATATATGACTACAAGATTCAATTTGTAAGCAGTTCTTGCTCGTACAAAATGTCACAAAAATGTCTCATAAACAAACTAAGGTTTGACAGAAAGATACCTGGGCTTTAACAAAGCTATTGTTGCATTGATAAAATTTATGATGTGATGCTTAGAATGTTGCAATCATCCCTTTTGTATATGACATAGTGTTTCATGTCCTGCAAATATATTAGATGTTATGCCTTTGAAATTGGAAAAGTGCTACCTGTGTATTTAAATTTGACAATGTCCGTCGTTGCTGAATTTTCGACCTTGTGTCATTTGTGTGCCAGTTTCTATATCCACAAAAGCACATTACTTTGGCCCAGACTGTGGTCTCATGTTTTAAACACGTTATGGGGATGGGGACAGATGGCAACAAGTACCACTTGACTCACAGAAGATGCATTAACACAACCATGATCTCATCCTGAAATCCATCTGTGATCTCTTCACTCCTCTTTCCTTTCAAACTCTCAGATGGAAGTACATGTTCATGACTTGATCTAACATTAGTATATACATATACGTAAATTGAACAACTTGAAGATCTCATACCTCCATGAAATATTTTTGTGAATTTATTGCCGATTTTGGTGTATGCATTTTCCCACTGGCTCCCACAAGGCAACAGACATTCATAATGATATTGCAAAAAATTGAAGATGAAAAATGTGGTACCTTTGACCAAGGAGGTGTCCCACAAGCAGACACACCACAAACCAACCTTTCAATACTTGTAGCAATATTTAAATAACACCTCACAACAACTCATATGTTTCTGTATAATGTCTTTGCTAGTAAATGTGTCATTATCTCTTTTTTACTTTGAATTGATGTTTGAATTGTTTTTTTTTTTTTTGGTCAGATGTCCATGTCCACATTGATGTAGCCTCTGCCCAGACCGGAGTGTCCAGGTTTGGTCAACTCAACTCAAACTGGAGGTACAGAATTTTCATCTTGAAAATGCATACATGTATTGTTGCAGGCACATGTACTTGTACCAGTGATGATCTGGAGGTTTGAATATTGTATCATTCAAACCCTGTAGCTACCAGCATTTGCATTTTCCATCCACATTCATATAATACATTTGTAATAAGCTTTTGCTGCATTAAATCTGTTTTACAGTAAAGTTACACGAGAAAAAACATTTAAATCATAATCATTAATATCTTTTGCTGTATTACAGTATTCTATTACATTTAATCATCATTACAGTTTGTGTATTATTCTCAATATGTAGTATACAGTACAGTATTATCATTATTATTATTGCACAGTATTATTCAATGTTACAGTATTCTATTGCTGTATTGCAGTATTCTATTGCTATGACAGTATATTCTATTGCTGTATATAGATAATAATTTGCTCTGTGCATTGCATTTTGTGACCTGTTACTCCACTTGATATCATGAAGCAGGTTTACAGATTCAATTATCATGACAAAACCCTTATTATGAGGGTAAAGTAAGTCCACACAATGGCTGGAATAATTGCCTGGTGTGTTCCCATTGTAGGTACGACAAAACAGAAGACCTCACGCCGGGAGGCCCAGAACTGATGGCTTACACACACCTGCTACTGGAGGCAACTGACCAATCACAGCTCTATGCTGGGTCACATGACACCCTCGCCAGTATTGAGGCTTTCCATGGAATTCAGAAGCAGTTTCACAGTTTCCCTCCGATCAGCGTCAAGACGGAGCCCCGGGTTTTAGTTCTTGCAAAGAAAAAGGGGAAAAGTCGTGGGGCTGCATAATTCTGACAATGCTTTTATATAGTCTCAAATGTCCAATATAACTAATGCCATATCATTCCAAATTTTGTTGCAAGCAAGAGAGTAATACATCCACTGAATAAGCATGAATATAGTGCTGCCAAAGGCAGAAAGACAGGATTTCTACCAGTCCCAAATGACAAGGAGGGATTGGGAAATGCGCGTACAGTACACTCGGGGGAACCCAGCAAAATAAGCCTCATAAAAGATTCAGTGGCCGTCAGTAATCACCCATCTTGGCGGTGTACTTTGTGGCCGTGGCTGCATTTTTTCCCTCTGCGATTGCGAGACAACTGGGTCAGAATGTACTCTCCAAGCAGAGGTTTAGTCTTGGGCTTATTTTTGTATTATGTGTTTTTTTGGGGGGAGGGCTTTCTTTTTTGTACCAGTCTGGTTTCTTTTTTTGTTGGCCAAATGGCTTGCCCGCCTCAGGATAAGTACTGGCAGAGTTTTGGCTGGCGATGAAAAAAAAGAAAGAAAGAAAGCCTGATAAAATTGTCGGAAAACATGAAAAATAAGTCCAAGTATAAACTCCTCTCTGCTTGGAGAGCAGGTCAGAATGTGCAATCTAGACACATCACCCTGTCTGTGGGTTATAGGGAACTATGAAGAACGATCACCAGCAATAACAATAAATACGTCTCCGTTCTATCTATCAATATCATGGGCAGACATGATGAAGAACCAAAAACTGGGTTAGGTGCGGAATTCATCTTCATTTTGTAGATATAGTCTCCACCAGAAGAACACTGTGGGTTCAGAAACAGTAAAATTTAGCCAAATAGGGGAATAATTGGCCAGGGGAGTTTGGCCACCACTCCCCTGGCCTGTCAGACCCAATTTTTTTGCCAAATTCTGCTGTCCCAACCTCCTAAGGAAGGCCTGGTGGAAGCTACCTATATACCCCCTCCTCCATTTGTTATTTATCCTACAGGAGCATTACAGTGGAGAAATATAGCTGCCAGCGTATGAAGGGCAAATGTTATTGGGAACGTCGGTCCCGACTGCGGGAATCTGTGCCGGCGAGAGTGCTCTGAATGCTGATATAGAAATTATTGATTATCAGGGTGTACAGAGACACCCTGTCTGTGGTAGTACCGGGCTTCACTTATGTGCGACACAAATCTTTAGCCAGCCTGTGTTTTACACAGCCTGGTACGATCTATAAAACATGTTTAGGTGTAAATGTACATGTGTCTCATTTTGGGGGTGTCGGCCACCTACATTTTAAGTTTTTTTGCTGCACCACTGCATTTATTTACCACATTTGTACCATTAAAATGCATGAAAATGTGGAATTATCAGTAGCTAAAAATATAATGTTATATTTACAGTTCCGTGAGATGGGCTGACACATCTGCCATTGAAAGATCTCCAAATTGTGCCTCATCCAGTATTGTTGTAACCAGGCATAGTGGCCCAAATATTTAATCTCCAAGTAGATGTTAGGTTGGAAGATCATAGTCTTTCATCCCAGCATCTTCCAATGATTTCTAACACATATACATGTGATACGTCTTATCATAGCAGGGAGACTGCTTTACACTAGCACACTTTACGAATAATGCTTAACATTGGCAGGTAAGCTACGATTAACAGTGAATTAAACTAGCTGGCTGTCTCAAGGAAAAAGGCATTCAGACCCTCATACAAGAAGATGCTTTCCTGGATCTGTAGGAATGCCATATTGTAGCTAATAGAGATATTCAGCCCAGTTCAGACAGATTTTCATCTAGTGTCACCGAAGGCATGCTGTAGATCAACCTTTGCCTTTTGCCCAATCAGATTGGAATGTGAGATACAACATAATGTGCTCTTATGCGACAGCAAATAGCAATGCGTCTGAAACTGAAAGAATTTGAATTGAAACAAGTCAGTATCTGTTCAAACGTGTATTTGTATGTATTGTAACAAATCCTGTCAAAGTTAACTATTCTGTTCAGGTACATTTTGTAATTGTATGTCCAGTTTTAAACTTGCACTGTATCATCTTTTTATTCTCTTTAAACTACTAGTACAATGTATATAGAAATCTAAAAGGAAAACAATAGAAGAAATTTAAAAATTGGAGCCAATCTCTCATTTGTTTCACTGCTAATTTTGATTGACAGCTATAAGAACTCCCTTGGTTTTTGCTACATGTCTGTGCATGGATGTAGCTGTTAATTTCCCATGTAAATCAGCCTTTTGTCTGTGTAGATGATACAAACCATATCTCCTCATTGCAACCATTCAAACATGACAGATTGGACAGTTTTCAGGGAAAACACTTGAAATGCATCATAAAAACCATTTATGCCTCTCATTTTGCCTTTGGGAGATGGAATCAAAACCCTAGTGTTCTAGACATCACGGCGGCGCTGGGTGATTTAAATCTAGCACTGTGCAGGAGGATTATTATCATTATGTACTGTCTGCCTCTGTAGACAACACTCACACACACAAAGGAAATAAACCTAATGCGTTCTATGATGACTGAACAAGTAACTGATAAGGTTTCCTTCCTTTCACATGCAGTGATAGCTATGCTATTACAGTATAATTTGTTGGCACTGAAACTCTCTTATTATTCTGCCTTGCGAATGCACTTTTGAACCTTGACTTGGAATCCTTCTTTGAAGACTCAAATAAAAGCCAAGCTTGACAATATTATATGATATAAAAGGATAGAATGACACATATAGAGTGTATAAGACATGAATGGTCATGAAGTAATAACACAGCTCTTCAGTTCTATGTGTCAGCTTGCAAGATGTAAAAAGTCCTAACTCATTGACATACCTGTAGCTGATACTGGAACAGAAATCATTATGGAAAAAATGAGCTTGAGGTAGAAAAGACCAGTTATATGTTTAATATTCAAGTCCAGTCAGTAACTTAGTCATGGATATGGAAAATAATTGCACAGACGCAAATGGAACCTTGCATATACTATCAGCAAGAGATATGGTATGACTGAGTGTAGTGGGAAGTGTGTGGCCATTTCCACTGTATTTCCATCTTGTGGAAGATCTATTATTGCATTTACCATGTACTATAGGAACTGATTTCCATGTCTTTGATGACTGTACTTCCAAGGAATACCAATGGCTGAACATTCTTTTACTCCTGACAGTAATAAGGATGTGTTGGATAAAAAAAAAGGTACACATGTACATGAGTTACTTCATAGTGATTCTGATACTTAGAAAGATATTGAATCTGTCATATGAATTGTTAATAGCCTCATGAAGGCAGAGTGGATGTACACCAGAGTGGGTACAGCATTCACTGCTGCCTGAATTCTAGGCTAATGACCTGAAGTACATATGAAACATGTATTGAGTATCTGAATCCCTGAATTATTGATCCACAGAACTGTACAATGTTATGATTCCAGTTCTTTACTTCACCAAGAAAAACAAATATTTTGCCAGACAGCAAATTTATTATGAACACCGTCTTTTTGTTCCCTGGATTGTAAAATATTTGCAAACAGTCCGTCTTCATCCATAACGAAGAAGAAAGCTACCCTATCTGCAATATTTCCCAACAAGGACAGTCACAAAATCAATGTCTCGCAGGATTATACCACTAGAAAATCAATCTCGGCATTTCTTTGCTTCACTCTGCAATTCTTCAGAACGAAGGAATAGATTGTTATTGTGATTTCGATCTTGTGTTAGTCAAAGTTAATCCTGACAATATTGATACATGAATACATCTTTGGTTGAGCGGAAATCATATACTGTACTTAGTGGTGTGGAGGAAAGGAATTTGCTTGGTCAGCAAAACACCTAGTATGTGGCCCCTTCATATGTCTAGTGCACGCTCTGTATGTGATGGCAGCAGCCTTTCTGAAATGACTACGGTTTTGTCTTGTGTAGCTCTATTTTCTGGAAGACATGGCAAATACGAGCCACGTGATATCAGATTATGCATGTTAAAATCAAAACATCATCTTCAATCAATGGCAAAACATCATTCTCTTTAATGTAGGAATTGTTACATAACAAGTTTGATGATAAATGACTAGCCTATATAGTACATTTTGAATAAGGTTTATTAAAAATAAAATTTGCAATTGCGTTAAGTTATTGGCACCCAGTTGAAAGGTCCAATATATGTATTATTTTCAGTCTCTACCAGACTCAAATGGGTTGCTGCAAGGACAGGAGTAGAAATTCGCCAAATATACTGACTGAATAATGCCAATAATGTGCCAGAGGAGTTACTCAGCTGGAGAATTACAATGTGCAACCTCTGTGACCAATTTCTACTATTTTTCTCGCAAACCATTGCAGTCTGGTGGAGACTAGTGATTGGGCATCATATTGGTGCCCAGCGTAGGAGCAAAAGTCTTCACCAACAGTGCTTACATGCAGAATTTACAACTTATTAAACATCAAAGGCATGAACAGGTCTCCTCTGGGGGTGCCAGGGTCCTCTGACTGCCAAGAAACAGTTCACCTTTATTCCATTACCTAGCAGGATGGTCGATGGAAGTATGCAGGGCCCAGCATAGCGGTAACGGATAACTTCGGATTGTCTGTTAAGACTCAGCCAGGGGATTGAGCGCCCTTGACCATGACAAGGAGCTGGATAGTTTTTGTTTGGTACAGACCATAAGCTACGCTACTCTCCATGCAGAGGTTTGGGCTTCACATGGAGAATTAATGTAGATTAAACCTCCTGGGGCTTTGGATTGATGTGCTGTAGGCATTTTTATCAGGCTTTCCTTTTTTCAGGTATCTTTTTTTTTTACCAGCCAAGCTTCAGGTGGCGTACCCGATACTGCCCTGCTAATGATACTGTCTTGCAGCCACCAAAAGATAGGTTCAGCCTTTTTTAAGTGGCCAAAGCAAACATCTATGGAGATGACATTATCATTGTGCGATTTTTTTTCTAAATCTTTAACTGTTACAAATATTAACGTTTTGTCAAAATTTCGTTAGCAGAGTAACTCTTGAGTGCTGTATTTTCGAGATACTGGTTTCTTACATAGTCTCCAAATCTCCCGGCTGTTGCGGTAAATAAACTCTTTGAAAACAATAACGTAAAAGCACAGCTCTAGCGACATATCATTACAAGTAACATTAATTCGTCACTAACAGAAGTAAATCGGTTTATCCTCTGCTCTTTGTTTTCTGGCGTCCAAAGGTTGTGTTTGACAAACTGAGTGGACCCGCGGTTGAGTGCACCTGTTTCTGAGTCAAGTCACACCTACTCGCTGTCGCTCACTCTATGGGGCCGACAGGGTGAGAAATTACGGTTTCATATCTTGTAAAAATCTTCCAGCCCACAGAAACATATACCCAAGAATTTTACAAATTCCTTCTATGTAATATACGGTGTAGTTCACATGAATATTCAATGTTTTAGATCAACCTCGAGATTG